AGGCGACTCACTTTCCCCTGTTCTGTTTGTTGTTTATCTTGAAGCAGCACTAAGAGACCTCGCCAAACAACTCGACGTACCCCACGACCTACTCGCGGACATGATCGTGTACGCCGACGACGCCGACTTCATTTGCAGGAGTGCCGAAATCGCCACCCTGATTAAAACAGAGGCCCCAGCCGTCCTGGCCAAATGGTCACTCCAGATGAATATCACGAAGACAGAGCACACTGTCATTCACTGCAGCCCGACAGCACACACCACTCGGATCGACCGCACTAAACACGAAGACTGGCGCAACACACGGAAGCTAGGCTCTCTTCTCGGCGACTCAAAAGACGTCTCGCGACGAAAAAACATCGCGACGGCAGCTCTGAATCGTATGTGGAAAGTCTGGCTTCGACCGTCAAAGACCTCGGAAGCGACACGAATCCGCCTCTATAACTGCTACGTCCTGCCTATTCTGCTGTACAACTGCGGGACCTGGGCACTCACCCACTCCGAACTGCTCAGCCTTGAAGGGTTTCACCGTCAACAGCTACGCAAAGTGATCGGCATGGTATATCCCCACAAGATTCCCAACGACAAGCTGTACGACCGAACCAAGACGACCCCACTTCGATACTATCTCCTCAGCAGTCGCTGGAGACTATTCGGGCACATTCTTCGCAGACCAGCTGGCATACCCGCGTATCGCTTCATGTCAGCATATTTCAGCTCAAGCGTAGCTGGAAAATGGCGAGGCAGGCAACGGCTCACGCTCCCGATGGTCCTTGATGCCGACCTCCAGACACTCTCTGCCGGTCACCGACTTCAACGTGCACCAGATCTCTACCTCCTACGTCTCTGCACCCATGATCGTGCAGGGTGGAAGGACTTAACAGAGGCGCTAATTGCACACACACCGCTTGACGGACTCTGGCCGAGAGATGAGAGAATTGTAGAGTACGAGGGATAACCCGACGCATGCGGAAGTTGACCCACTACGGTGGCGAGACAGCTCGCGAAACGCTTTTACAATACAATACAATACTAAATTTAGAGCAATGTGGATTTAATGTCGTGCAAACTAGTGCTTCAGAGGAAGTGCCAGAACCTGATTTTTAACTCCTCTTGCATACCAAGCGAGCCCAATCACGAACTTGCGGCCCAGACGCGAGTGCTGGACGCACACAAGAGCGGTAGGCTCCAGATTCTAGTTGCAGACTGCAGTGGCGTCCTGCTCACAACAGACCGCACGATCATCGACCGCGGGACAGCCGCGAGGGGCGGGGCGCGTGCATCATGTACGAATTGCACACCGGTGATGGATGACGCCCTAGTGGAGTACCTCGAGGAGAATTGTTTGTAAACACTAAAGCAAATCCTGGATATGCTGTGGTTTGACTTCGGTGTTTGCTTAAGCGCTTCTCTTATCAGTAAGAAACTGTGCGATAAGCTGTAAACATTTAAGCAGGTATAGTGGTTTTGTACCGAGATGAGCTTATTGGTGTAAGTTCTAAGTATTTGGGTTTTTGGACAGATTGGTATCAGAACGTAATAACGCCAGCATTGAAAGCGACGTGTGTTTGGTAAGGAATTGCTTGCGCATACGAAGATAGGTTATTTTTTGTTTATTATGGCGAAGTGAATTGCAATCTCTATTGTAAGCGCTCTAAAGGGCGAGCTCCTATTGGGCAGTGAACGGTTGTAACGCTTCCACTTTCTAAAGGTGCTAACTTACAACTGCGGTGCTAAGTGTCGCCTGAAGTTGGCGGGTCCACTAGTCTAGACGCCGTGGAAGCGTTAAAAGGTAGGTAAATGTAGCGTTTGTAGACGGAGTCCACGACCCTGTCAAGAAGCCCGACGTTTACAAGAGTCATTTTGTCGGCAAGACGATTGTTATCGTTTTCGATAATGGACCTGATTTCACCAAGACCCAAGATAAGGTCCAAGGCAGGGAGGACCTCGAGCTACTGCGAGTCGGCCCCTACTCGCCCATGTGCAATCCAATTGAAGTTGCTTTACCGCTTTGAGGCCGCATCAAGGCTTACGTTATCATGAATTCTGATCAAATGGTCACATACCGTATGGCAGAATGACGGAGCATCGAATGTGCTTACTAAAAAAAACCAGCGGATCACTGTTTGCCCTGCATAGACCTGGTCTTGGTTAATAATATCGCTCGCCATTGCGCTCTGTCGGTGAAGGCTGCAATACGCGGTGAGATTATGACCTACGACGCATAGTTTTGCTGTACACTAAATCCACTTTGGTCTGCACTGATTTTTATTTTTGTCTGACCGCACGGCGATATACAACTCTCCTCTCTTTACATGATGAGCACGATAAAGAGTTTGTTGCGGCCCCTAGTGTACACTTGCATAATTGACTCGCCTTAGTGGCTTAAGGTCTATTCCCCAGTAACCTAGCGTATATCTACTAAGCGTGCACCCCTTCGGCGACGGCAAGGCGCATCGGCCGTGCGGTTCCTCCCTCGTGTGGGACCCTCATCATAATTCCGGACTAACTTAGGGCATGGTCTTGGTGAGCCACACAAAACAGGTTTGATCTGCTCTATTTCATGTTAATTACTTAGGCGTTGTTATTCCATACAACGACCTAATTATATTTTGACGGTATTCTTGGGTCTCTAAGTCTGAACGCCCGATTACTGTTTGAAAGGAAGGATTCGATATTATTCTGTTATTCCTTCATTAAAGGTGGTGCGGGAATTGCTGGGCTAATAGTGAGAAGAGGTACCTTGACTGGCCACTGTCTTAGGACTGCGCAACGGCCCTATTTACCACAGGGTTAGATAATAAGTGACGTACTGTGTGTGTTTAAATCTGTA